AACTGTGTCACTATGATAGCAGCAACTTCAGTCGTTTCATATAAACCTAATATTTTATAATTTTCTTTAACTTGTTCTTTTAACAAATATTTGCTAACAACAAATATTAAAAAAACTTCGCTGTCGTTAATCGTATTTATTGAAAAAATTCGATGACATTATTTTATATTTATCATAAATATTAAAATTAGTATTTTTTATATTATCTACCCATCTCTTGTGTTTTTGTGTTGCTGAAACTGCAGTTAATAAATAATATTGAATTGCATTTGACTGATATATATGAAATTCAGTTCTGAGGATCTCGCTTCAAAAATTGCCCCGGGCCCCTAAGTCCTTAGTATAGTCATACTTTTCCAATTATAAGTAGGACTCTCGACAGTTCTCAATCTGTGGTTTGCTGGTTCCTTTTAGGTGTTTCATGGAAAGGTTGCATAATTACGGAGAGGAGGCAACAACATAGTGTATAGATCTCACTGTAGTTGGCGATGTGGTATGCAGGCATATCATGCGTTTTCTGCCCTCTCATTTTCAAAATTTTTGTTTATTCTAATCCTACGTAATTTTCCCACGACGCGTGTTCAAGAAAATTGTTAAGTTGATTTCATTCTAGCTGCCTTCGCTCCTTGTCATTCTATAAAGGTGACACATGTCCTGCCCATGGCAGTGTGTGTGTGTGGGTAGGGGGGGGGGGCTTTAATGCTGCACGTTATGGAAAAATGTCAACAGCTAGTGTCGTTCAGTGGTAGGTCAGACGATATCACGAGGTTAAGGTCTCCCCTATGTTTAAACGAGAATGACCAGTCTCGTATTTACAGCTATTCACTATGGGTAAACTCCACGCTTTTCATTAAGTAAGAAACTTTAGTTTTAATACACTCATGTATCAGATCGTGGGTGAATTGATTAGCGGGAATACAGTTTGAGTGAAGATGACAGTCTAATCAACTCACGAATCCAGTGAAAGTAGACTGCTCAGCATCCATCAGCAAAGACACACGCACTGTTTTGTGTCTTTGATCAATAAAGATTGTTTTCATAGTTTGTTACACGCTCAATCTATTTAGTTGCTAACACTAAATTACTTTTAACTAAATTATTATCGCTTCATAAAACATCCTGCTAATCCTCCCGTTATATATCTAATACTCTTTAAGGGAATCATTTTCTCTAGGGAAATACCACAGTAGGATAAAAAAAAAATACTCGGGTGGTCAGCAAACACAAACAACTGAGAACTACTATGGTAAAAAATATGTAAGAAATGCATTGACAAATACGGAAGAGATGTAGAAGGGAACGTGGTATGAATGTAGTAATATCTAAAACATGAGAAAAGTTCTCATTTTATATAATTAAATATTTACTCGAAAAATGTGAAAATCGAAGATTCTATATATTGGTTTAGTTATCAATTGTTGAACAGTTTATGAATCAATTGTTGAACAGTTTATGATAGTTTCGACTCCCTCGGTATATAATGGTTTAGTTATCAATTGTTGAACAGTTTATGATAGTTTCGACTCCCTCGGTATATAATGGTTTAGTTATCAATTGTTGAACAGTTTATGATAGTTTCGACTCCCTCGGTATATAATGGTTTAGTTATCAATTGTTGAACAGTTTATGATAGTTTCGACTCCCTCGGTATATCATGGTTTACTTATCAATTTTTGAACAGTTTATGATTGTTTCAACCCCCTCGGTATAAGCATTCTTTTCGATTTGTAACACATTTAGATAATACTATCGAACATAATTTTTTGTTTTAAACTGATTATGCTCCATACTTTTCTTTTATGATTATTATCCCCCACCCCCAGCAACTCAGAAGTAACTCTGAGGAGTTATAATGCTAAAAATCAGGTTTTGATGCCTGTGGTGGTCAAAACACAGATAGCAACCCATTGTGTTCTTTGCGTTGAACAACAAGTAGTTTAGGGTTCTAGCAGATAGCTTAGTCATAGATAAATAACTAAAGTTTTTAAGTAACATATGCTAGACTATCAAGTTTTTATATTATGCTCTCCAATGATGTTAAAACTAAAAATAAAAAAATGTCGTGATTAGGTAGGAGTTACAATTCACGTTAAAGTAATCTGGGATTTCCTATATTAAGAACCATGAAACTAGTTGGAATAATAAACGGGGTCAGTAGATGAAAATTAGTGAACTGCTGTCAGAAAACCGAAACAAGGGCCAGGCACGCCTAAACTACGAAGGTTTATAAAATCCCAATTTAAAGTTTAAACGCTAAAATAAACAGGTACTAAATATACCCTCCTAGGGTCCTACAGTTAGTGCCTACCAAACCTTAAAATGAAAGGGGACTTGGAGATTGGGAAAATATTTTTGGAAAACTTCTCAAACCCCTAATACTACTTTAGTTTAAAACGAATAACCATGGTTTCACTAAATTACAAATACGAACAACGCATCAGATTGTGTAATTAGAGAAGGTGGAGATATAATGTTGATTTTCTGTTACACTACATGTCAATGTTAAGTGAATGAATTAGAATTATTTCAAGGTTACTAATATGTTGGTTGTACCACGTTATTAGCCTCATACATTTAGGATGTTCATACAACGACAACGTACTATGACATACCCCCCACCACCCCCAGTGGCTCAGCGGCATGTCTGAGAGCTCACACCTCTAAAAACCAGGTTTCGATACTCGTGGTGGGCATAGCACAGATAGCCCATTGTGTAGTTTTGCGCTTAACAACAAAACAAACAAACGTATACTATGGCATGTACGTCAGGCGTCTCAGTTAATTCATCAGTTTAACTGATATAAATATACAATCAGCTCTAGCTCAGAAATATTTAGGTTGAGCTTCAGTTTAACTGATATAAATATACAATCAGCTCTAGCTCAGAAATATTTAGGTTGAGCTTCAGTTTAACTGATATAAATATACAATCAGCTCTAGCTCAGAAATATTTAGGTTGAGCTTCAGAATAACTGTATGTAATGCTTTTTCTCAAATTTGTAATAATTAGCACGACGATACTTGTGTGAAACTATCAACGATCTCACTTGTTTAAAGAGGTTAAATTCAATTGGATATAATACCGTCTGGTACTTTGTTTATATACGACTTACATCTTTCATTTGGCTATACAGATTAATTGATGTAAAATGTACCAAGTTTAAATGGACTGCTTTTATGAATCAATTATATATATTTATCTTGAAATAGATTATCTTTAGGTGATTTATTAGTGGGCTCGATTGCTTTTATACATCAGTTATTTTCCTCGCTTATCTTAAGAGATTAGTTTTGGAAAGAAACGAACACGTTTGGGTCGACTAGTTTTATATCAGTTATATCTCTCATTAAGTTAAGGATATTATTTGGTTTGTCTTGTAAACATCAGTTACATCTATCACTGGATTAAGGATGTTACTTTGTCTGGAAAGCATGAATTATGTTTCTTATTTCTCTAATGAAGCATCTTAAGGCAGAGTGTAGTACAATTTAACTATGCTTCTATCGGGCGATTACAGTCTGTGCGGGTGTTTTAAATAGCCTGTAGAGACGATTATGTACCATACTAGAGAATGGTGTTGTGTACATAGGTAACTATTCGATGTTTTATGGAAATGACATAAGGGGTTCTTCTGTAGCATCTGCCAATGCTGTCATCATTATTTTCAATTACCACGTCCATCATGATAAGAGTATTGGATATTATAGCATTCAACATCTCTACAAGAGTAGCTCGAACCTTAGTCTTAGTGAGGAATACTTATTGGTTAAGGCGATATACCCTCATCTCCATAAAGTCCATAACCAGAAGTCATCACATTTGAGGCCAGGAAAGCGTGGTGACCAGGCGCTTATAGAGAGCTTTCTAGCCAATCTGCTGAATGCAACAGCTATGCATAGTTTACATCTTAGGTTGGTCATAACAGTACAGCTCCGCCAACACAATACGCTGTTCTAAAGTTAACACTGCTTAGCATCTTTCATTACTCGCGACAGAATACCGGTTGTCTGTTCTAGCCTTCATTCATGTACCAGGATAATATGGAACTCCTAATGACATACGTATGCAAAATATTTTTTTACCGTTTGTTTCCAAGTTTGACCAATAGACTGTTCCAAATATCCGTATTGAACTTGTGTATCGGTTATCTCTTTCACGAGCTTGAATAGACTGAATCACGTGGGTTTTAGTACAGTTTGACTGGAATACTTTTATAAATATCAGATATCTCTCTCTTACATGTTTACAAAAATTCAGTGGGGTGGGATTTAGTACCGTTTGGCTGTACACGATCGTACGTACTTAAAACTATGTTTCTGGCTTGTTAATACCATTTGAGAAATTCTGTTTTGTTATAAATCAATCAAATGTCTCGATATGTATCGTTTAGAATTTTCATCGTTGTGATGGATATCTACGTGTAAATAGTCTATAAGTATTTTCTGTCGGGTAAAAGGAAATTACCAAATGTGAAAGTGTATTACTTATTATTAATTATTTCCTCTGGTGATTCAGCAATAAGCCTGAGGGTATATAACACCAAAAATCGGGTCGCGATACACTCAGTGAGAAGAGCACAAATAGCTCATCGAGTAGCTTTATACTTAAAAACAAACAAATAAATACTATTCATTGGCAAGACTGAATTTATATATGGATAACTAAAAAAATGCTATCTCAAAAATAGGAATTTGAAGATTTCGAACCAAAATTTTTATCGTGTAAAACTATAAATGAAAACATTAAACGAAACCATTTTTCATTTTTTAATATTTATTGAAACCAAGCAACAACAAAACAATTCCCTGAAAACAATATATGAAAATAGAAAATAACATTTCATTAGAGATCTTAGCACCATGCTTTTTCATAAGCTTCAATAATGCTTTAGCATTTCTAAAAACTTTATACGATAATGTGTTGGTGTGTGTGTGTGCATATTCCCCTCTTTAATATCTTGGAAGTTCTAAATTAACACTAATTTTGTATAAGTTCATCGTTTGTTAACTTAATGAGAATCAATAATCTTTCATCAAATACTATCGCGATAAGTCTTTCACCCTTAGAGGATAATCTAATCAATAAAATAATTTCCTATTTCTTTGTCACACAAGGAAGCCCTGACCATGAAGAACCACAGCCTAGAATATGCTCGTCGAACACTAGTTTGACAGGACAACTGAATATGTGCAAGGTAAATTTATTAATAGTTTTGTCCCAGTAACATTCATAAAACTTTCCACAATCATCTGGGTGTCGAAACAAGCCAGGACGGGTACAAGCTGTTACAGGAATGTTGTTTCGCCCCTTTACAGCTAACTTTCCCGCTAGAGGGCTACGGAATCGATCCAGATTATCCGCTTCTTCCGGTATCTCTTGATTAATTTTCAGTGTATCTTCTCGCGGAATGTCTTTAACATTGTCAATGTAAGGAAAGTCATTCGGCACAGGTTTTAGAGGAGTTTCACTTATTGGTTCTACACGCTGGAGAAGAACCTCATAATCAGATGGCGGTGAATCTTCAACTATAAACGGTTTTTCTTCAATTATGTCCTCATCCAGGTTTTCAGAAACAATTGGAATTACTTCTTGTACAGGAGTTTCTATATTTAAGGGAGGTTGAGCAAACTCGCCACCAGGTGGTCGTAGAGCTGCAGCTTCTAATGATTGTTTATCACTTACATCTTCTGGTACTATACCAACAGTGTCTGGTTCTTTTTGTATTACAGCCTCCCCATTAGGTAGCAATAAATCAGGCTCTCCGCCTAATGGCAGTAGAGGTGGAGATTCGTTTGTTTGATCAGAATACCCATATTTTAACCCTTCTTGTGGGACTGAATCAAAATTCTCATTAAAAAATGGAATAGTGGGTTGATTTAATTTTTGTCCAATTCCTTCTTTCCCGAATTCATCTGGCAAAACAGGGAATTCTTGTTGTATTATTATTTCTTCACTACCAGGTGGTACATAATTCTTGCCATCAGGGGGTGCTATAATTGGATTTTCTATGGGTTGTTCGATATTCTCATTTTTTCCTTCCAATGAAGTACCAGGAACTTCTGGTTGAATCAAAACTTCCCTAACTGGAGGAAAATTTTCACCATCTGTTCGAACATCATTAGGTGGTGGTGGTTCAAAATTGATATCAGATATTGGTACATCTACGGGATTCAGTGGTTGTTCTAGAATATCTTGTTGTAACAAAATCTCTCCATTAGGTGGCGGTTGCTCGTAATCATAAGAAGTAATTGGTATGTTTGGAGCCTTTTTTGGTTCTTCTGAAATTTGTTGCTGTATCGGAACTTCCTGAATACTTGGCGGCAGATCATAATTTTCACCATCTGTTGGAACATCATTAGGTGGTGGTGTTTCAAAATTTATATCAGATATTGGTATATCTACGGGATTCAGTGGTTGTTCTAGAATATCTTGTTGTAATAAAATCTCTCCACTAGGTGGGGGTTGCTCGTAATCATCAGCAATAGTCGGTATGTTTGGAGCATTTTTCGGTTCTTCCGAAATTTGTTGCTGTATCGGAACTTCCTGAATACTTGGCGGCAGATCATAATTTTCACCATCTGTTGGAACATCATTAGGTGGTGGTGGTTCAAAATTTATATCAGATATTGGTACATCTACGGGATTCAGTGGTTGTTCTAGAATATCTTGTTGTAACAAAATCTCTCCATTAGGTGGCGGTTGCTCGTAATCATAAGAAGTAATTGGTATGTTTGGAGCATTTTTCGGATCTTCTGAAATTTGTTGCTGTATCGGAACTTCCTGAATACTTGGCGGCAGATCATAATTTTCACCATCTAAGGTCTCTGGTATTTGATCTGGAATTTCCTGTATTAAAATGACAGTAGATGGTGGTATTTTATAATATTCTCCAGTCACTGGTATATTTAAAGTCTTTAAAGGCTGTTCTGGAACTTCTTGCTGCACTAATATTTTTCCCCTAGGTGGAAGTATATTTACAGTCTTAAAGGGCTGTTTTGGGACTTCTTGTTCTGAAATATATTCATTTGGTGGTAATATATTATAATTATCATGAGCTATAGGAACAGCTGAGGGTTTAAGGGGATTTTTAAGATTGTGTTCTTGTGCTGAAGTCTCCCATTTGGGTAAATGCAAGTTATAATTTTCATTAGGTGTTTGAAATCCTTGAATTTTTAATGGTTGTTCTAATAGTGTTTGTTTATTTAAAGTTCTCTCACTGGGTGGCCTTCCTGTATCTTGGTAGCCAATAACAGTCTGTTGTAAACCACCAGATCTAATATCAGGGAAGTATGGAACATTTACTGGTCTTTTATAAGGTGTAACTGGTTTTTGTTCAGGCCAAATTCCCCTTTCTTGACCTGTTGTATATTGAGTCCTCAGATTAAGACGTCCTGGATAAACAGGGAGCCGTCTGCGTGGTACATATGAGTATTCAGGTTTTTTGACACCATTATAAAGTGTTTCCGGTAGAACATACTGGTTTCTATAAGGGAAAATTTCTTTATTTGTTTGAGGAGAATGTATGATTACCGATGGATTGAGAGGAGTGTGTTTGTACGGCGATATTGGTCTGGCTGGTGTAATATGTCTAGCACCGTTTCCTTTTCTGAAAACGTCATCTCCTTTGATAAAATATGACACAAATCGCTTTCCTATCGAAGGAACCAACGGAAAAAGCTTTCCTTGATGAGTATCAAGTTGCTCATTCTGTTGTCTTGTATGATATTGATCTTTTATGTAAGGTCCACCAGTTTCAAAAAGTGCACGAATACTTAATTCTTTCAACCATGATCTATTTGGTGTTGACTCAAGGTAAGGATCCCTAGCAATTGGTACATAATAGAAACTAGATCCTTTTCCAGTTGGAGAGAAGGTTTCAGGGATGTACTTATCTGAATTACCATAACTTATAAGTTGATGGTGACTAATAAGTTTCGGAATTCCTTGTCTACCTTGATTGACAAATGCTGGAGTCACTTGTCTTTGATTAGCAAATTCTGGAGTTTCTTGTCTACCTAGGTCAACAAACCCTGGAGTTTCTTGTCTACCTAGGTCAACAAACCCTGGAGTTACATGTATACCTTGATTTAAAAACTCTGGAGTTTCTTGTACATCTTGATTTAAAAACTCTGGAGTTTCTTGTACATCTTGATTAACAAACTCTGGAGTTTCTGGTTTAGCTTGATCAATAAACTCTGGACTTCCTTGTCCACATTGTTCAACACACTCTGGACTATCCTGTATAACTAAGTCAACATTTTCTGGAACACCTTGTTTGCCTTCACTAACAAATCCTGGTCCTCCTTGTACAAGTTTACCTTGAAAGTCTTGTGTTCCTTGTTCATCCTGGCTTACAGATATTGGAAAACCCTGATTAACCTGATCACTAAACTCTGTGTTACCTCTTTTATCCTCACTAACAAGTCCTGGTGTTTCTTGTTCAACTTGTTCTATCAATTCTGGAGATCCTCGTTCAATTTGACTTACATAAACTGGAATACCCTGTTTAACTTGACTATCATAATTTGGACTGCCTTGTCCGACCTCACTAACAAGCACAGGATTATCACCTGTAACCTCATCAATGAGTTCTGGTCTATCATTTTCAACTTGGCTACCATAACTTTGTTCACCCCGATCAATAAACCCTAAATCAGCTTGCCCAGTATGACTGATATATTGTTGTCCATCTTGTAAAATATGCGGATTAAATCCTGCTCTGCCTTGTTCATTATAAAATGTAGAAATATCAGATCCAACCTGGGGCACTGGTATTAGATATTTTTGTTTAACAACGGGTCCCGTTGATAAACCTCCTAGTCCACGTCCTAGATAATAGTTCTTCTTTTGACCATTAAGAAGTCCATTTGAGTATGGCCTTAGTTGTCGGAATCCTGTTTGGTATCCATTTCCATGAAATCCACTTAGACCTAAATATTCTTTGTTTGTCCCATCAAGCACTGGTCTTGCTTGTATTCGGTCGTCATATCCAGCATAAGGAGTTTTTTCATCAGTATATAGGCCACCAAGTTTATATTCGGGGTCTATTCCAATTTCCTGGTAATTAGCTCTTGGAATATTCCCATTATATCCTCTAATTCGTGTTCCAAAGAGTCCATAAATATTGTAACATCCTGGAACCAACCATGGCCAATTACACAACAACTTATCCTCATCAAATACTAGATTAAAAGGGCATTTAAACTCAAAAGCCTGAAGAGTACTATTACCCCAGAAATCCATGCAGTAGTAGAACCACCTACAGTTTTCTGGATCATGAAAGTAACCAGGACCTGGACAAATGAAGGTGTCCCTAGGAACAGGGAAGACTTCTCCTGATCCTTCACAAGGGGGAGACCACGATGGCCAGTTACATACTTCATATCGTTCATCAAAGACGAGGCCTGGTGGACAGTCATATTCAAATATAGTGTACTCCTCGCTGTATTGGTTAAACTTAACACAGCGGTAGAATCGGCTACAATCCTCGGAATGTCTGTAGTAGCCTTGTCGGGAACAAACTTTCACATTATACCCATCGATACGATCAATCAAACCCACTTTATCCACAACATCAACGAACTGAGACTCAGCACCCTCTAGGTATTCCTCGAGATCGTCCAACCCCAACTCTAACTTGGTACCGTTCTTCACGTTGTCCGAAAATACATCCCACACGTTACGGAGAAGAGGATAGTGACCTCTACCGCAATCATCTTGAGAATCATCTTCGTTTATCCACCACAAGGTGGCTCCGCCAAGTTTTCTTAGAAGGATGTATTTAGCCTGCAAAATAAATAAAATGTCTTGTAGCCATGATTGGAATGGGTGCTATTTTTAACTTATTTGTTCTGATGTCAAATACACAAGCTAAATACCACATTTTTTTATAAGATAATTAATTGTGAAATAATGAAACTTGTTTTCTTTCGACACATAAACAATTATTTATCAAGACCAACCTTCAGTCTCACGCTAATTTCATCGTCAAACCCAACTTTTATGTCTCTGTCAAAAACAAAAGGTGCTGTTTGGTCTTTCTCGCGATGTACTTTCCACCAGGGAGCTCCAGATAACTTACAGAGCTGTTGAAAGAAAATAATGAAGCATTTAGTTTCGAATGAATATTTTACTGTGATTCATTTTGTACCCAAATCCCTCTACATGAGAAATGAAAATAAATTATGCAAACTTGTGAAATATATACTTATAAAAGTACAGCAATATAAAAAGTAAACCATTTAATTTACTGATTATGTGGGAAACACACATAAAAAATGAAAAATTGACTGACTTTATAAGTGAGATTTATTAATCGAAGGACTAAATTAAACAAAATATGTTTGATATCAGATGGTGGTATAGACTCATAATATAGAATATATATATCTATATAAATATTTTAGTTATTAAAGTAAACTCATAAAAAATGCAGAAGAAAACCTCCCTTTATGTTTTTAATAAAAAATTAATAAATCATGAAAATGGCTTATATACTGAGGGTAAATTACACGTTATAAGAAAAATGTTCCAGTTCTATGCAATCTCTGAAACTACTTTTTCTTTAGTAGATCATGCTCAGTCTGACGCAATGATTACGCACTATTACGCAAACCCCAATTTCTATTGTAACGAGTCTCTATGAAGGTTTGTTTGTATTTATGCACAAAGCTACACAATTGGCTAT